CTATACATATCCTAAGGTTTCCTACTAGCATGCCTTTGCTCACCTCATTCTCCATGCTTGAAATATCCTCCCAATATCTACCTTTTGAATCTTACTCATCCTTTAAGACCTTGCTCAAATACCACCTCTTCCAAAAAGCCTTCTTTGGTTGATGTCTTTAGTCAGAAATTCTCTTTCCTTCCTTGTGGACCTGCAACTTGATGAGGTACTTTTTTCCTTACTTACATCATGTTTCATTATCTATTCTAATCATCTGTGAGTAACATATCTCCCCTGCTAGATTACAAACTCTGTGAGGATAAGAACTGTAACTTTGTATCCCTGGTGCCTACAATAATATTCTGTCTTCGTGGTAAGCCACATGATCAGAAGTCTTGGAGCTAGATACTTGGGGATCATCTAATCTAATCTCATTTTATAGAAGGGGAAACAGGTGACTAATAGAAATTTGCCGAATCGGTTTGAATTGAAACAATTGTCCGGGATGTGCTATTAGGGATAAGCTCTTCCTAGTGCCTCCAATCTAACACAACTAAAACTAGGCTTTTAGGTTGAAAGCCTGTTCTTTCTGAAGTGTATTTCTGTTGATGGCATGATCTTTCCCCACTTATTGAGACTCAAAACCTCAAAATCATCTTTGACTCTGCCATCTACCTGGTAGCTAGGCGGTGAAGTGGATAGAATGCTGGGCTTGGAGTCAGGAAGTCCTGAGTTCAAACACGGCCTCAGATGCTTAGTAGCTTGTGTGATGCTCGGCAAGTCACTTAACCTCTGTTTGCCTCAGTTTCCTCAACTGTAAAATGGGAATAACAGCACTTACCTCACAGGGTTGTTGTGAGGATCAAATGAGATCATACTTGGGAAACATTTAGCACACAGTAGGCACTTAATAAATATTTATTTCTTCCCTCCTTCCCCTTGCCACTCATATCCAATTAGTGGAAGATCTGGTATTCATAAGATGGTAGATTTCGAGCTGCAAAAGACCCTAAGGGACCATCTAGACCAACCTTTCTTTATAGATGAGGAAATGGTGGCCCATTAAGTAATCAGTCCAAGATCCCACAGAGAAAATACTGCTCACCAGGATCTAAATCCAGTACTCTCGGTTGTTTCTCCCACACCATGCTGCCCCACCCAGATCCAGGCCTTTATTACCTCTCACCTAGATTACTGCAATAACCTCTTAACAGATTCCTTCTTGTCTAGTGTCTCCTAGCTTCTGAGACATCCTGCATTTCACTACCAGAGTAATCTTCTTAATGTATAAGACCCCAAAACCTTCCTTTGATGAAGATCTTCAGTGATTCCCCAGAGCCTACCAAACAAAGCCATTCATGGCTTATTATATTATATTCGTGGGCCTCCAGAATCTGGCCTGAACCTACCTTTCCAGGCTTATTTTACATTACTCCCCATCATATATCCTGTGCTCCGGCCAAATTGAACCATTTCCTCATTGTTCCACCAACAGAACCTGAGCGTTCCTCTGCCTGTGCCTTTGATCACCGCTGAAATGCCCCTGCCCCATCCCCCCCACTCCAGGGCTGACCCTCCTCCAATGTCCCCTTCCAACTCTGCCTGTTCCTCCCTCACACTTGTCCCAGATCCCTCTGGCCAGAAGTCGTGTCTCCCTCCCCAGATCTCTCAAAGCACTCTGTGCCTCTCTTACGTTCTTATAATACATGAGTTTACATTACAGTTATTTAAATATGTGACCTCTCCCCTACTAGTTTATATATCTCATGAGGACTGTAGCTTATTTACCTCCTGTGTTTCCCTCAGATCTGCCATAAGGCTTTGTACACAGATACTTAATAATGTTTGCAGATTGATATGGCTCCTTTGAGAGGAACGCAGGTAACAGAGTACCTCAATTTAGAACTAAAAGAGACTTTGGAGATCAAATAATGCCTCCATTTTACAGATGAACAAACTGAGGCCCAGAGAGATTATAACTTGCCCTATAATAAAGGAAAAGAACCAGGATTTGAACCCACTCCTTTTGAGGTAAATCCAGTACTTTTTCCATGATACTATGCTGCCTCTGGGAGGGTTTCCAGGGTCCTTTGGCAGTCCAGGTTTAGCCAGACATTTAAGAAGTCTCCACTCTCACCACAAATTTAGGCCCCTCTCAGGATCAGCCTGGGATAGCTACTGCCTCTGGTATCTCAATTTTGATGCAAAACTCCTTCTGACAATCCATGTGTACCAGGGCCCCAGTTTACTGGTTCATGCATAGCTGGAATTACAGTGGAAGCCCCCAAAACAACCCACTGGCAGTGGTCTTGGGAACAGCCAAACAGACCATCAGCTTGGCTTGAAGCCAATTCTGTGGAGTGTGACATTCCACTCACCCTCAGCACGTTCATCTACAGTGACCCCACTTCCAACTTCCTCTTCCCCAAAGGACATGCTCCTGGCAAAGGAACTACTATCCAAGGCTCCAACTCATGCACCACTGAGGCAGTCAACCCCTTCTGGACTTACCTAAGGGACTGGCTCCCTGGGTTTTGGGGGTAAGTGGGGCTGTGAGTCCCAAGGCTGGCAGTATGGAAAATCTGAAATTCAACAGAGTGATCCAGCTGCCCAGCTACAAACCCATCTCCCTCCTTGCCTTCTTATGGATTAGTACACCCTCCCACCATACCTTCTTATGAAAACTATGAGGTCTTTCTAACCAACAAAGTCTTTAAGACTAATACTCCTTAAAGTTACCATTATCAAGGAAGACTTGAATTTTAACCAAGTTCAAAACACTGAGCCAAAGGAGAGATGGTATTAAGATTTCATAGGGCTGTATCCTGGGATGCCTTAAAATTACAATAATTGAAGGTCTGGAAGAGATCTCAGAAGCTATCTGATTCAACCTCCTCTTTTTACAAATTAGGCAGCTAGTGGAGTCTGGCAGAAAACTTGCAGTCAGGAAGACCCAAGTTCAGATCTGGCTTCAGATATTGAAAAGGGATGTGACTCTGGGCAAGAAAGTCACTTATCCTCTGTATGCCTCAGTCTCCCATATGTAAAACAGAGACCATAATAGTGCCTACCTCCCAGGGTTGTTGTGAGGGATAAAATGAGTTATTGGTAAAACATTTTGAAAATCTCAAAGCATTATGTACAGGTTAGATATTATAATAAGGAATCGAGTGCTAAAGAAAGCTCAGGGGCCATCTGGTCCAACCTCCTCTTTTTGCAAATAAGGAACTAAGAACTTTCCCCAGAGTTGAACTGACTTGCCCAAGGTCACAAAGATAGTAAATAGCAGAGCTTAGGCAACGTGGTACAATGGAAGGAGTGATGGCTTTGAAGTCAGACGACCTGGGTCTGACTCCTGGTTCTACCACTTGATAACTGTGTGATCTTGGGCAAATCACTTATTCTCCCTGTGCCTCAGTTGCCTCATCCATAAAATGAAGAGATTAGACTAGATGGCCTCTAAGGGCCCTTCTAGTTCTAAATATAATAACCTATGACTTTTTATATTTCCTGTGCTCTTTTCACTAAATTTCCAGATACCAGGAAATAGAGACAAATTTGGGAGAGATGGGAGCCTTTCCAGCCCCCTGAGACCATAACAAAAAAACAGGAGAGAGAACCAGGAGGAAGGATAACATAACCTGGTCTGTCAGGCACAAAAGCCCTTTGCCCTCCTATTGGTATGGCATACCATGTTCAATTCCCAACTCTCCACTAGGAAGTATCTTAGAACTCTAGTCATAGGGAGAGAACAGTCAGAGTGGGTAACAAATATGCTCTCCTAAGAAATCCACATTCTCTGCATCATTACACTTGGGTTCTAGGTCTAGTTTTAAAAAGAACTTCAACCCTCTCAAGTTCAAAGCACTTTGGGCTGAGCCACATAATATAGTGAGAAAAGTGTAGGACTGACAGTATGGAGATTTGAGTGTAAATGCTGTTCCAACACTGCGTGGCTATGTAATCTAAAGCAAGTTACTAAACTTCCCTGAGCCTCAGTCTCCTGATCTGTAGAATGGGGATAATATTTGTTATTACGTACTACCCAGGGTTCTCCTGTGGAAAAGCGCTATGCAAACTTTAAAATGCTGTAAGAAGTTATTATTGTTGCTATTTTTATTGTGCTTCCTTGGCTACCTGCCCCTAGGTAGCAAGGATGACCCTAAGTTTTAAATAGAGAAAGGCAGGCTCCATGAAAATGACTAAATGACAGTGTCAGGACTGGGGAAGTAGCAACGGTCAAACCAGGTCTCTCAGATCCATCTGCTGTCAGCCCCTAAACTTATCTCCATTAGCTCATATGAGACCAGGGGTATTACCCCAGGAAAAAACAAAGGAACCTGACTTTATGGTTCAAAGAAACAACCACCTTGGGGCATTTGAAGGTCTGTAGCTATCACCAAGCCCCCAATCCCACTGCAGCCAACAAGTTTGTCCAGGGAACATCTCCCACTCCCTGAGACAGGTGGGAATCGGGGTAGTGAGGTTTCTAAGAGCCAAAAGGATGAGAGGAACTTGGAGATTCACACGCTAAACAGAATTCCAGTTTGGATGACGCGATCTCTCTCTCCGAAGACTAGGAGAGGCGCCAAACGGAGGGGGGATTGCCTCCTTGGCCTCTGCCCACCCACCTTCAGCCTTGAAGGAGCCTGCTGTCCAAGGGGAGAAGTCTGGATATAGAACAGGAGGTGGAAGAGATGACCCACTTGGGCGCTCAGCCTGGGCCAGGAGTGGAGCCGGCACAAGGCGCTAAATCGAACTCGCTAAGAGCGAAGAAAGTAAAAGCCACCAACTCTGGCTAGGCTGCGACCCCGACGGATAAGAGTGAGGACAGCAAAGTGTTGTGGAGGTCCAAACTCAGCTCCACTTGCAGGACCAGGTAGGTGGAGGCTCTGGCTGTCAATCCCTGCGCCCTCTCCGCTGGGTGCTGGACCCCCCGGGAAGCTAAGCTGCAGCCGTCGGGTCCTAGAAGAGCCCCCTAGGCTGGGCCGTTTCCGTCGGGTCTCAGGGGCGCTACTCACCGCGGGAGGCTGCTGCGGAGGCTGCTGCTGCTGCTGCTGCTGCTGCTGCTGCGTGTTACTGCCGCTGCTGCGCCGGGCACGGGCACCGCGGGGACTGCGCAACTCTCCGCTCCAGCTCTCTGAGTGCTCCGGGAAAGGACCGACGCAGAAAAGGAGTAGGAGGGGAGGAGCGGGGCGGCTTGGACTCAGCCACCCGTTAGAGGCTAGCCCTTTGGTCCTGGGACAAGGGGTGGGGGTTGGGGCGTCCCCTGCTGGCCGCCTGCAGCCTTGCGGGGGGACGGGACTAGAACCTTGGAGTTTCTAGCAATCCCTAATCTTAGCCGGCTATATTGCAGACTTCTAGGATTGGGATCAGTCAATCAAACGAATAAACATTTACTAAGTACTACTTTATGCCAGGCACCAATTTAACAATGGGGTATACAAAATCCAAAAAACAAACAAAAAAAATTCAAGAAGAGAGACAATGTGGTTCAGTAGAATGGTAGATTTGGAGTCAGGATCTGGGTTCTAATGTTGATCTTCCATTTCCTATCCGTCTGACATCATGCAAGACATTTTACCTATCTGGTCCTCCGTTTTCTTACCTGTAAAATTGAGGGAGATACACTAGATTGTTACCTTCTAATTCCGAATCTATGGTCCTATGATTCCCTGACCTCAAGGATCTTACATTCTATTGAGGGAAACAAAATAAGTGAGTATGGAATAATTGGAATGGAATAATATGGAAAAATTACAAGGTCGTTAGGAAGGGAGGGGGCACTAGTAGGTGCGGGGATCATGAAAGGCTTCTTGAAGAAAGTGGTTTTTGTTGTTTGTTGAAAGAAGGGAGAGATTCTATATAAGGGCAGAAGTGAGAGCGCATATTGCCGGCACAGGGGATGGGGGGATGGCCAGTGCAAATGCACAGAGATGGAAGATAGAGCCCTTCATAACCTGGCCCCTTCCTCCCTTTCCCATGTAATTACACCCTTACTGTGCTACTCATACTCTGTGATCCAGGGACGATGGCGTCCTTGCAGTTCCTTAGTACACGGCAACACTATTTCCCAGCTCCAGGAATTTGCACTGGCTGTCTCTCTCCCATGCTTGGAACTTTCTCCCTCCTCCTGGTTTCCTTCCAATCTCACCCAAAGTCTCACCTTCTGCAAGAACCAGTCCCTGGTCTTCTATCTGAGATTATCGCTATTTTATCCTGTATGTATCTTGTTTGTACATAATTATTTGTAAGTTATCTCTTCCATTAGATCATGAGCTCCTTGAGAAAAGAGACTGTTTTATGATTGTTGTTTGCCTTTCTTTGTATTCCTAGCACTTAGTACAGTGCCTGGCACATAGTAGGTATTTCATGCTTGTTGACTTGAAACCAGTTTGGCGAGACCTTAGAGTGGGGGATGGGAGGTAATGTAGACTGAAGCTAAAACGATAGATTGGGTCTAAGTTGTGAAGGACTTTAAAAGCCGAACAGAAGAGTTTATATTTTGTTATGTAGGCAATAAGGAGCCCCTGAAGTTTATTGAATAGGAAATCTATAGGGAAAATTAAGACTGTGAAGCTTTGGAAAATGAAATTCAGGTATAGTATTTGGAATATGCCTTCTATATCTCTCTTTATCAGGAAAGCCTTTTTCCTGATGAGAACAAGAGGATAGATGCCTATGCACCTCCCTTACACACCCCAAAATCAAAAAATCAAAGAAAGGGGAGAGAGAAGAAGAAGAAGAAGAAGAAGAAGAAGAAGAAGAAGAAGAAGGATGAGGAGGAGGAAGAGGAGGAGGAAGGATAAAACAAAGAATGCTTTACAAAGTACTTCCACACTATCTCCCTTGCTCCTCACAACAATAATGAAGGCAGAAAAGAAGTAATATCTCTATTACAGATGAGGAAACTGATTCTCAGAGAGATCAAGAGACTTGCTCAAAGTCACACAACTGGCAAATGTCAGAAGCAACATTATAACAATCATCCAACTTGAGCTTAACTGCCAGGAATGATTCATGTTTCCAGGGTTTAGTGGAAAGAGCAGTGGCATGGGGCAGATGAACAAATATTTCATGATGTTGACAAAGGGTATGGCCTGAGTTTGACTTAGTGGAATGAATGCTGGTCTTAGAAGCAGAAGACCCATATTTCTATCCTGACTGTAACCCTGTGCAAGCCACTTCATCATCGCTTTGTGACTCAGTTTCCTCGTCTGTGCTATGGGGATAATAATACTTGTGCCACTTTCCTCACAGGATGGCTATTAGGAAAGCACTTTGGAAATTGCAAAGACCTACATGAATGTCCATTATTATTGTAATGGGGGGTAGACTGGTATATGAGGGTGAAACAGACATTAATAGTCCCTGCCTTGTTCTAATCCAAGCAACCATGTAGAAACTTGGAGGACAGCCATTCATAAATGGGAGCTAGTGCTGTATGATAATGGAATGCTCTCCAGAAGAACTGATGACTCATGGGTTCCTGAGCTGCAATCTAGCATGTATATGAAAGGGGCAGCATGCCCCTATGTTGTTCCTTTTTCTTTTGTTGCAAGATTACTTTGAGTTACCTCCCCAGAGCCAGGTCAGGAAAGGGCTGCCATTTCTCCCATCTGGACAATGTTGGTTTTGGGTACATGGCTAACTTTGTCTTTTTTTGTATTTCTTCCCTAATTAAGTGACCAGTCCTTGAAATGAGCAGCTTGGAGATAAAAGTGCCCCAGCAGTGACCTCATGAAAATTTCAAGGTCTGAAGAGATTGCAGGGTGACAGCTGGTGTCTTCCTTTCCCTTGACACCCAATCATTAGGTGGCAAGAGAGTACCAACAGCGCCAGTAGCAGCGGAGCAGGAGGGCCTGGCAAAACACCAAAGTACAACATAATAAACAATTATTAAGCACCTACTATGTGCCAGGCATAGGTACTATGTTTGATGGGGACACAAATAAGAAAAAGAAAGATCTCCTTGCCCTCAAGGAGCTTACAATCTAATGGGGGAAGACAACACAGAAAAAGAAGCTGCCATTATCAATGCCACATCCCACCATGAACTTCTTGAGGGCTCTACAAAGGAAAAAAAGAATTTCCAGGGCTTGGAATTGGAGACATTGTTTTGCCATTTGTGTTGTCTTCACATGCGCCACACTTTCATTATTCTCTAAATTAGTGCCCACTCTCTCCATGGATTTTGTGTGCATTTCAGTCACTTAGTTGATAAATATTTATAAAATACCTACTATGTGCCACTGGGGAAGCAACTAGGTGGCTCAGTGGATAGAGCACTGAGCATGGAATCAGGAAGACCTGAGTTCAGATACGACCTTAGACACTCAGCTGTGTGACTCTGGGCAAGTCACTTAACCTCTGTTTGCTTTAATCCACTGGAGAAGGAAATGGCAAACCATTCCAATATCTTTGCCAAGAAAACTTCATATGGTGTCATGAAGAGTCAGATGTGACTGAACAATTGAACAGCAACATGTGTCATTGTGCTAAGTGCTGGTGACACAAAAAGAGGCAAAAGATAGTCCCTTTCTCAAAGAGCTCACAACCTAATGGAGGAGATGACAAGCAAACTACTATGTACAAACAAGCCGCATGCAGGATAAATAGAAAATAATGAAAAGAGGGAAAGCATTAAAATTAAGAGGAAAGGCTTCCTATAGAAAATGGGATTTTAGCTTTGACTTAAAGGAAGCTAGTAGATTTGTGAGAAAGTGCTCCCTTGGCTTTGGGGAAAATGTTTTGTACCAACTGTTATTGTGAAACCTTAGTAAATCTCTTTTCAAAAAGCTAATTGAAGTCTACTGGCTAATTGTTAATGGAGAATAATACATTGGTGGGAGCTCATGAGCAAACATATTAGAACTACAGTCCCTCTGGATTACATCTAGAACCCTAAGAAAGAATAAATAGTAGCTGTTCTATGGGATCCCAACCTGCACGTTCTAGTGCCCAGTTGGGGGAATGGCCCCAAAGGGGATGCTGTATTATTAATTGTTATATCATGAATAGTAATACATGTTATTAATAGTAATATTATTTCATCATTATTGATTATTATTAATGTTATTAATAGTAATACAGGGTATCAATAATAAGCTCTGGTAGACTTTTAGGACACCTTGTATTTCTAGATCACACTTACAATCTTGCAGAGTTGAAGTGACCTACTTGTAGACTGTTAACTGATAAGTATCAGAGATAAGAATTAATTCCAAGGCTTTCCAAGTCCAAAGCCAGCACTCTATCCACTCCATCTCAAATGAGATCATATTTGTAAAAATCACTTAGCACACCTAGCACATAGTAGGCACTATATAAATGCTTATTTCCTTTCTCCTTCCTACACTATGGTCTCTTTCTCTTGCTCCTGCTTCCCCCATACCATCCCCACCACCCACTTCAGAAAGCTCAGTCTCCTACCTTCTTTAACATGCAGCATCTCAAAAAAATCCACCTTTGAAATACCACCCAGTTAAAGAACGTAGTAATGTGGTTTTTAAAATGTAGGAACGACTGTGCTCTAAGAGAAGATGAACTGGTTGATTTTAGAAAAACATGGAAACATGATTTGCATGAAATAATGAGGAGTGAAATGAGCAGAACAAAGCGAACTTTTTACACAGTAACAGCAACATTGTTCTAAGAACAACTTTGAACAACTAAGTCATTTTGAGTGTTACAAATATTTAAATCAACCACAAAGGACCTAAAGGAGATACTATTCATATCCAGAGAAAGAATTGATAAACAGAAGTATGTATAGTATGGTTTTACACACACACACACACACACATTAGTGTTTAATGGTAGCCTTCTCTAGAGTGGGTTAGGGAGGGAAGGAGGAAAAAAAAGCGCAGAGCACAGAGCAAAAGAAAACTTAGAAGGAAGCACAGAAAAGCAGTGTCGTTTTAAAATGATGTCTAGTATATATTACATAGTTTTTAAAAAGAAAGTAAACATTATGAAATGGAAATTCATGATTTTATACTGAATCCTCTTTTTATGTTGTGCCATGTTCATGGAAATGTTCTTTTTCTTTGCCTTTTGG